TTTGGAACAACCTCCAAATGATGCCAATCAGCCAAGGATTTGTCCGCGATTTGCAGTGACTCAGTGAAGGACGCCAAGACCAAGTGATCGACGCCGCATATAATTCGCACTGTTTCACTTGAATCAAGTTCCGGTCTCCGTAGCCAGGAGCAGCGGCAGCAGAGGCGCCTTCAATGCAGAACCAGCTTGAACTGGACATTTAGCAAAGTGACAGGTCATCCCCATTCTCGCCTATACAAAACGGCCAGCCCCCGAAGGATAAAACAGTGATGTTTGCCATCAACATGTAACATGTGCCATTCCAGCAGCAGCCAATAGCAGGTTTAGGTTCCGGCGTGACATTAGAAGCATACAGAATAATAGTGACGGCAACCAAGTTCGATGATGAGTAAGTTGGTTTGCACAAGCACACATGGACAGGCGAAGCATGGGACGTTATCTGCAGGTGGCAAGCCATGGGATGATTCCCGCATGTACATCCCACAGCCAGATGCCACATCCGTGGGATGGCGCGGGTTGTCTTTAATCAGCATGGCGCGGCAACTCTTGCTGTAACAGTAACAGGCATAGTGATATATCTTGTCGCTGTCAGTGAACACCTGTTCAAGAGTCAGTTGCTCTCCAAACGTGTATGTACGGGTTCGCACACTTTGCTTCCATGCCATTTGCCTATGGAACTGCATGTGTCCGCCTATACGCACAAGCATGTAGCTAATTCGAAATAGAATGACAGCGAGAATGACAAAATTCGGTACGCGAGTCTGGTGATGCCAGCCAAGATCAGAGCTGTCATAGTCGCCGAAGTGCAGGCGAAAGAAGGACATTGCAAGCCGCACAGGGCGCAAGAAGAATCGTAATAACTAGAGTAACTAGAGTCTAGAGCGCACGACGACCAACACAAACCACAGCACGCCTAGCAGCGGGCCATTCCTGCCGCCGGTCTCACCGAAGTCTTCGACCAAAAGGCGAAAGCTCTCCCAGCACGGCTTCTCTCGACGGGGCCTTTGGTTTTGGGTTGTTTTTGGCCTCTGAAGCCCTTGCGCTGAGGAAGGTGCTTGGAGACTCTTGGTTGTCCGTTTCCTATCTCTGGTCATGTAAGAGGCAAGCAGGGAAGAAGCCGCTGGCATGGAAAAGCCAGGCAGCTGAAATGCTGCAGATACCAAATACTGCGAAGCAGCCGCTCCAAGTTGTACTTGCTTCTCCAGATTCCAAACTTTGGCCTTTGAGTCCCAATGCTACAGAATTGCTGATATCGAGATTCGCAACATGTATGACCTTGGTTATTGGGGAAGGAAGTTTACCAGCCAGCGCTTGATGCAAGATCTCAAGACTGGCTGAACAAAGTCCGTGAACCCCGCCAAGTCAGCAAGTAATGACGCCCAGAAGCACTTCTCCTTGCGCATGAACTTCAAACAAGAACCTTTCTTCATGTCATATCATTTCAACATGCCACGCAAGAACTGCGCAGGCTCCATCCTGGGACCTTAGAGTTCCAATGCTTCTCGAAAAGCCCTGAACTCCCACCATCGCTCCGTCGTGCACGAGCCGCCATTCCGACACTTTGCCTTTCCTTCAGGTCCCGGGCAGATTCACGGGTCAGAATTCCTAGTGCACAAATTCGAAATATGGTCTTGAAGTTCTACGCAATTCCAATATCAATACTCAGCCACGATTGCAGGCAGCCGCAGTCACAGATAGAGACTGAATCGGCGCCTCAGCACGGGACCGCGCCGAATGGCGCGACTGGTGAGAGAGCTGTCCGGGGCGCAGGCCCCTGCCGTAAGCTTGCGGGTAAGTCGCGGTGTTTGTCCACTCGGATGCTGCATGTGCATTCATAGTGTCATAGTGCATCGATAGTAGTCATAGTAGCACTCCGACGACAAGTCACCAGCTGTCTTGAAGTCTTGAAGCAACTAGGTGAAACAGACCTTGATTCATGTGATGGGTTTCATCCTTGATTGTGAGCTTGGTCTTTCAGGACGAGGTCGCGAGGTTCAACTTTCGGGGACATTTCAACACAGAGTTCGAGCAGCCTCAAACTCTCAACGCCCATCTTGCACTCCCACCAAGTGATTGCCAGGATGGCACAGGGAGTTTTTCACTTTGCCGCGCCCGCACCTCCAGCTTCCGTGGCCGAAGGCACAGAACTTCCTGGTACGAAGCTTTCCAAAGTCTAGAACCCAGAACCCGTGACCATACTTGAGGCCTAAGCCCCGCGCCCTGTGATGCCAACACCTACGCATCACCAGCAGCAGCACCGCTGCAGATCCGAGCAGAGTACCGGCTAGTTGGGTGGCATCAAGGAACTGTCGCCAGTTCTCCAGCCGCAGTCAGGTTAATATCCACCATGCCGATGTCCCCACACACCCTGGACCTCAAGCCCCAAACTCCGTAAAAGTCTTGAAGTCTCGCAAGCAACAGGACAGACCTCCTCACTATCGAGTCCGCTGCTAAAGCTTCGAGTCCGTCCCCCGCTTCAACGCGCCTGAACCTGCCCGGGAGCTTTGGCTCTGATTTACAGAGTTAGTCGAAAGGGTGGCTATGGGGTTTAAGCTTGGGTTTCTGCACTGCTTCTGGAGTTGAAGAAGCCTCTTACCCGAAATTTTGCAACAAGTGCACCTGACAGGATCGTTGGCTTCTTGTGAAGCTCACGATGAGGCTTCGAGTCTTTCAGGTGGTGCTTGTGAATCATTGAACCATCGTGCGTAGTGACCCACTTCTGCGAAGTTCCCTTGGCTCTGTTTTGCCGCATTGCATAATTGTGCACAGCATACAGTTTGGCCCCGGCCCGGGCCCGGCTGCTCAGGCCAGACTCCATGAGTCATGAGTCATCATCTTCCCATCGTGCCTGTCATGCTCTTTCTGGTGCTTCTTGTGACTTCAACGTGTTTTGTCGCTGTTATTGCTCCCATCGAGATACCAGTGTTTCGTACCCCGCAATCTCCAGTACTTCTGCATCAGTGGCTGCGAGACCCGAGCTCCCAAAGCCCCAACGGGCCCGAGTGTGCCGAGGGCTCCCTGAGCAATTGGTTGAACGCCCAGTCAAGACCCCTGACTCTCTCTCTCTCTCTCTCTGTCTCTCTCTATCTCACTTATTCATTCAGTACGTGTGCATATATATATATATATAGATATACAGATATATATAGATATATATAGATGTTGTGTGTGTAGAGGTCCTGGCTTTGTGGGCAAAACCAGTTCGTGTTGAGGATTGCTGGCGGCCCGAGCACGCCCGATAAGTCCCGGCCGCTAACACCCCGGCCGAGATCTTCCCGGGCGGCTGCCTCAAAGGTTGAGTGTCGCTGTACCTACAAACACTAAACCCTATTCCGAGTCGCGAGAGTCCAAACCCTAAACTCGCGCAACAGGCTTGAGTGTTGTTGTACAGGACCTCTCAATGCGAGTTCTGCTCCTCGGGATGGCGGTCGCCTCCGTAGTTGATTTTTTCCGCAGAACTAAATTCTTACAACCGTGGCAACTCTTCTTGGTGTGTCAACACCAGCACTGTTCTCATCACGCTGGAAGGTTGGGCTACTTTTTGAGGTGGCTGACCTGTGCCCCTGTAGTCCAGGACAATTGTTGCTAACCGCGCCAGCCGCAAGGCCTCAATTAGCCTCTCCTCTAGGACAATTAAAACAAAGCTCGCCCAGTGGCCTTAGTGGATGCATACTTCGGGGCTGCCGAGGGGATCAGATTGTGCAAGGGCTGGTACCGCAAACTCCCTTGCTGTCATGATCCTTTGGCTTGCGGAGCCTTGAGCCCTGGAAGCACACACACGCACACCTGTAACCTGTTGCAGTTCGCTGGCACCTGCATGTCAACGGACCTAGACATCTGAACTCTCATGCAGTCCATCAGATTGCAGGCGCAAAACATCAGAACGTACGGAATCCCAAGCTTGTTGTAAACCTTCCTGAGGTTCCAAACCATCGTGGCGTTTTTTTCTGCCTAGTACATCTGGCTCAGCCCAGGCAGAAAACTGCGAACACGAGATCCGCTCCCAGCCGCTGAGCAGTTGGCGCAAACCACAAACCGAGGGAAAGGACGAAAGAGATCAGAAAGATTTGAGTGTCGATGTGGGTTGCTGCAGGTGTACTTGGGGGCCCAGATTTTGCGCAAGATGTCGTCGCAAGTCGTTTGAGCCTTGGCGGCTGGTGCCGGTGCGATTTCCGGACTTGCATGATGCTTTGGGTTCGGGGTGACGGTGATGACGACATCAGCCTCGTCGTCTCGCTGGCGCCTGCCTTTGCTGCTGCTGAACTGCTGTGAGGCGTCGTCCGTCAAGAACTACTACTACTACTACTACTACTACTACGACTACTACTACTACTACTACTACTACTACTACGACTACTACTACGACTACTACTACGACTACTTCTACTTCTACTTCTACTTCTACTTCTACTTCTACTTCTACTTCTACTTCTACTTCTACTTCTACTGCTGCTACTGCTGCTACTGCTACTACTACTACTTCTCCGATCGATCACTACTTCTATCACA